ACTGCCCGAGCAGATGCTCAATGTCATCATCGTCTGCATTTTTTCACACCGTCACCTCGTTGCGCAAAACATACCGACATGGGTTCAGGTCCACGGTTGCAATCGCCGACCGGGGTTGAGGCTCACAGTTGCACTCTTCGACCTTGGTTCAGGTTCACAGTTGCACTGCCCGACCTGGGCTCAGGCTTATAGTTGCATTCGCCCACCTGGGGTTATGTTTGAAGATTCAGCACTCTCCGACCTGGGGTCAGATTTGGAGTTGCACTCCTCGACCTTTCATCAGGCTCTGAGTTACCTATCCGGGGCCAGCGAATTCCCTCACCGACTTGGGTTTGGGTTCAGAGTTCTACTCTGAGTCCCGCGAGCAGGCCCGTCTCGCCGCAGCTCTGCAAGGTGGCGCTGGTGGGGAGGACGCTGGCGGTGCGGCCGGCGGAAGGTGCCTGCTCCTGGACCGTCCGCACCGGCCGGGTTCCCACGGCGCCCGAGCCACCCACGGCACGCTCCCGGGCGGCGCACGCAGGCCTCCGGGGCGCCTGCCGGCAACGGCAAGCTTTCTGTGAAGGCCGCTTTGTGATGCAGCGAAGGGCTGCCGGCCGACCCATGATTTTGGAGTTGCACAAGGCATAAAGTTGTAGCTGTGTTTGAACAACTTTGACGCAGAATTGCCATAACGTGATTGTATTCAGCGTAAGTGATTGGTTTGAATGACTATGGTCAGCCGAGCATCATAATTATTGGCACTGCGTGCACATCACTTAGGCTTCGCATCGCTAACAGCTTGTGGTTGAAAGGCTCGACCTTTGCGGCAAAAATCGCGAACAGCCTTTCGTCCAGCTGCTCTCGTGCTTGGCGAAAATGCCTGCTAGCCGCCTTTGTGTGTCAGCCGCTCATCTCGGCCGTCGCGTCCAGACCAGGGAGCGGCCGCTGCCGGTCGGCCGTGAGGCCACCACGAGACTAAGCGAGTCCGTAATGAGGCCTAACGGCGGCGCCGTGGCCGGCCTGTGGGTGCGCCGGCGGCCGGGCGCCGCTCCTGCGGTCGGCGGCTGACCCGTCACCTCATGTCGTGACCTGAGCGGTCACGGCGAGCAGGGAACTCTGCGGGCGGCCGAGGGGCCGACGCCGCCGGCTCCGCGTGGCTCGTGATGTCACGCCCGCCGGCGTCGCAAATCACGCACCTCCCGCCGTCCCCGCCTTGGGTTTTTCACGGCGCGTGTATTTGCCGCTGGCTTTAGCGAGGCAATCCCCCCACGCCTCTCACGGCGGCTGAGTCGTGCTCACTGCCGCGGTCCGAAACGCTGGCGAAGAGAGAGAGTTTGGAATCTCCGCTGCAGCGACCTTGAGACGAAGCGCTATCGCTGGACCAAGGTGTTCCCAAACTGCGAAGCCACTTCAGTTAGCACGGGACAGTATTTGTGGATCGGCTTTGTGTGTGGCAGCCGGGCCTGGCCCCGCGTCGCCACTTCTGTGTCCGCTATTGATCATGTCAGCAGGCTAATCTCCCTCTTCTCCTGGAGTTGGCACCACTCCAAGGGATAGCTGAGGACGTGCGTGTCGTAAACGCGTCGTCTGCTGTTTCGATGGACCCGTAATTAGCTGGCGGCGCCGGAGAGACGCCCACCGTGGGCCGGCCCAGCGGCGCGGCCGGCGCTCGGGCCGGGCCAGGCAGGCTCTAAAGGCCGGCACACCCGGCCGATGCCGTGTGACGTCGCGGCCTTGGCGGCCCGGGGAGCCAGGCCAGCCCTGCTCGCGTCCCGCCGAAGGCGCGGCGGGTGGTGCCGGCGGCGCTCATGACGCCCAGCGCCGGCCGTGTCGTCGGTCCACGGTGCTGGACGCGGCCTGACGAGCCGTGCCTGGACTGTTGTGACGCCCGGGCAGCGTTGGCCATAGCCGGGCGGGGCGTGTCCGTGGCCTGGTAGCGATTGTCTACGTAGCAGTGGTCCGTGAGAGAGCAGATGTCTTCGGCGGTGGGCAATGATGAGTCGGGCGGTTGCCTCCTGAAGCGTGATGTCTTGGGCAATCCTGCCAGCAATCCGGGTGGAGAAACCGCCGCGTTTTTGGCTTTATCTTATGTTTTCGATAGAGGACATGCTCCCCTCCATCTCAGCGGGATGGGTTAGGTTGACTGGAGCTTGTTCAGGCTGAGAGCCCACTTCAGATGGATGGGATTAAGCAAGGAGGTAAAACACGGGGCAATGCCGCGGCCATCACGGACTATCCCAGACCACAACACGTGCATGCCTCCCGGAGCACCCATCAGATTGCAGGTAGGCGTGTTGCGGTTGCGCGAGCGGGACACGCTGCCCGCCCGGCCGTTACGCCGACTCACGTCTGGCGGCCGCAGCTGCTCCTGGCGAGGCGAGGCGCTGCGGGGAACAGGATGAATCGGTGAAGGGGAATGTGAGGTTCGGTGACCGCTTCAGCCTCGAACATGGCCTCGGATCTTTCACCCAAACGACTGATCTGTATGTGTGTCATTCCTCCTCGGAGGCAGATGAACCGGTGATTATCATGGAGCGCGCGTCTTTGGTGTGACCCTGACCTGTTTCGTCGGTGACCTGTGGCTTGACCGTGACGCTGCGATCGTACCGCTTACACATGCAACTCACTGACATATTTGCACTTTTATATGTAGCTCATTAAAATATGAGTTTGACTTGGTCTATTATGTCAGCCGCTGACCTGCTCATGACCTTCTGTCATCGTGGGGCTGGACACCCAGCCCTGCTCTCGGGCACGCTGCTTTAACCTCGGGCTTGTCTCAGTGATCGGCGGCCTGACCTTGACCTCGCGTTCCAGCCAGGAGCGGGACCAGATGCGCGAGCGCGAGCGCGAGCGCGAGCGGCTGTCGCGCAGCCAGATCGCGCACCAGGCCTCGCGTGACTTCTTCATGGAGCAGACCAGCGGCGCCACCTTCAGCCAGCCGGTCCGGGTCAGTTGGGATGTGTGCGTATGTGTGTGCGTGCGTGACCCCGTGGGGTCCACAGGGGGAAGAGAAGGGGAGGCTCAGTCTGGCCTCCGTAGGTGCAGAATTGTTTAAAAACGGCAGATGGAAGACAACAGGTCCAAACCGTTGCCGAGTGGATGACCACCAGGCGTGGCATGCAGACGCTGCTGCACATCACAGCGATGTGACCTTGAAGGCTACGATCATGCAATGTACTCCGAGCCGGTATGCCTTAGAAATAAGTGAAACGTTCAAAGTGCTTTTCACACCCTTCTCCGCGCATCTCCACATGCGTCATGGTCTGGTTGACCGACGTGATCTCATGAAATCTGTGCATGAGTGACGGCATCGTCAAACACATTGACAATCATTGACCTTGTAGTTCCTTTGTCCCACTGGATGCTGGTTTTGTCCGCGGTTTGTTGACTTTAACTATTTGTATCTTTCTTTCGCCGTCTGGTGAATAGTTTTACGGCGTGTGTCATGGCCACGGTTCCGGTACACGTCAATGCGCATGGTAAAATTACCCTTTTATGTTGGCGCCCGTTACGCGTGAGTCGGGAAGTCCAGCAAGTCAATTGGCGCCATCCCACTCATTAGAATCATTCGCCGAGTGTATGTCAATGTGTGGGCCATTGTGTAGTTCATCGTGTTGGTCATCGGTACCGTGTAGGTCATCGAAGTCTGTTCGCCTCGTTTCTGTTTTATGACCGTGGGATCCTGCCGTCTACGGCGCCCGTACTTTGCCCTTGAAGTAGCATTGCTCTTCTTTTTACACTGCCGATCGATTGTAGATGACAGTATCCTTAATCCTTCCTCCTTAGAGCCATGGAGTGGCATGCCCTAACCTTGGCGGCTTAACTTTGAGGTATTACAAATGGAGTTTCAGCGGTAGATAAGGAATTTTACCCAGCAGGATACAGCCGTACGCGAATCCTGACCTCGTCCTGCTATGCAGTGTGCTATGTGCAGCTACTGTTTGCTTCTTTCCAACGGACCACCATAGCACTGCATGACCTCCCAGCAGGCCCTCATTTGACCGAGCGGATGGTATAGTCCTCGCCGGAGATGCCGGCTCGGCCGCCGGACCGGACCGGACCGGACCGGACCGGACCGGACGACCGGACCGGACCGGACCGGACCGGACCGGACCGGACCGGACCGGACCGGACCGGACCGGACCGGACCGGACCAGACCGGACCGAACCGAACCGAACCGAACCGAACCGAACCGAACCGAACCGAACCGAACCGAACCGAACCGAACCGAACCGAACCGAACCGAACCGAACCGGACCGGACCGGACCGGACCGGACCGGACCGGACCGGACCGAAGCGAAGCGAACCGAAGCGAAGCGAACCGAACCGAACCGAACCGAACCGAACCGAACCGAACCGAACCGAACCGAACCGGACCGGACCGGACCGGACCGGACCGGACTTACGAGGGACGGGACTAACACTGAACCGGACCGGACCGGGCGACCTTGGCGCACCGGCCCGCCCAACACACGGCTTTGTGTAGGGCGACTATCAGATGTATTGTCGCATTCTGCTCGGCAACACAGCCACTGATGCGCGATTAGCGGGGGGAGGGGTGAGGGACAAACCGAACTTCGATGAGATAAGTAAGACACTCACATTCAGCGGAGGCGAAACGCGCTCAAAGCGTTCGGCTTCAGTTAAGACGTACCGTGACGTGGTGTCTGCAAGGCTGGTTTCGCAGGTAGCCGTTGACCGGTGATGGGGGAGGATAAACGGTTAAAGAACGAAGCGGCGAGGTTGGCACACTGTTTGAAGCCACATAAGTACAAATTTGAACCGTGAACCTCGCAGGCATAAATCCACTCATTTAATTGTTTCGTTAAGATTACCCATTTCTGCAAGTGCTTAATTGACTACAGGAGTTTTATTTTCCAGTTATGTTTAATCACACGTAAATGCTACGCACATGTAACTGAGGTAAGTGCACATTGACTTGAATCACACAAGTTTTCCCGCCTGGGCGGGTGGTGCCTCGTTCGCCGGTTATCACTTTACCGGATAGACGCCGGTGCCGAGTCTAAAAGCAGCCGACTTGAGACCGGCTGGCCGCAACCAACCTTCATGTATGTTGTCCGAAATGCCTTTTGCTATGCGATGTCACACTGGCAACGCTCATTCCCCTGAGTTTTGCCGTTCTTAGAGTTAATCAAATTGTGGGAAACATAGAAGTCAATCACGTTTTTGTTTTTCTTTGGATTCGACGAGGTTAGGTGCGCCATTCTTTCTGAACAGGGCCATGAACTCCTCACTATGTTCCGCTACGTTTTTCCCGTACGTGCGTTTATTATGTATATACCATCCCCCGTCTCGATATCTATTTTCTATCTTGTTGTGTGATTTCCGGTTCGTTCTCCCCCCCCTCTCTCTCCTCTCTCTCTCTCTCTCTCTCTCTCTCTCTCTCTCTCTCTCTCTCTCTCTCTCCTCTCTCTCTCTCTCTCTCTCTCCTCTCTCTCTCTCTCTCTCTCTCTCTCATCCTCTCTCTCTCTCTCTCTCTCTCTCTCTCTCTCTCTCTCTCTCTCTCTCTCTCTCTCTCTCTCTCTCTCTCTCTCTCTCTCTCTCTCTCTCTCTCTCTCTCTCTCTCTCTCTCTCTCTCTCTCTCTCTCTCTCTCTCTCTCTCTCTCTCTCTCTCTCTCTCTCTCTCTCTCTCTCTCTCTCGCTCTCCCTCTCCCCCGTTGCCGGCGTCACCCTTTTCTATCTTTGTTTCGGTGGTCTCGCCAGTATCTACTCTCGCGCTTCCGAAGCCCTGTTATTTCCTCCACCCCCGCTGTGCGCCACAAGTGTATTTTGCCTCGCCTCCGCCCGGTGCGCGGTGGCTGCCGCTCGCTGGCGCCCCATCTCCAGCTGTCGCCTCGATGACGCATCGCAGCGCCATCACCGGCGCCGCCATCTCCGTACTGCTAACGGCGGCGCTCGGCGTCAGGAGCGGATCTGACGCCGGTCGATGGCCGTTCAGGCGTTGCGCCGCTGTTCATGCCCACGCTGCACCGCTGATCCTCCCCACGCTGTACCGCTGATCCTTTCTGCTCTATACTGTTGATCTTGCCCACGTCGTACTGCTGATCCCGCCGCCGCTGTACTCCTGATCCTGCCCCCGCTGTGCTACTGATCCTTTCTACTCTATGCTGCTGATCCTGCCCCCGCTGTACTGCTGATCGTGCTCTCTCCGCACTGCTGATCCCATCCCCGCTATACTGCTGATCCTGCCCCCGCTGCACTGCTGATCCTGTCCCCGCTGTACTGCTGATCCTGCTCTCGCCGTGTTGCTGATCTTGCCCTCGCGTGCTACCGCGTCTTCCCGTCTGTACCGCCCTTCCTCCCTCTATTCCGCTACTTTTGTCTCCGCTATGTCTGCCCTCTGTGCCCTCAGTTTCGTCCGTTTGTGCTTCTGTTACCGACTGTCGCATCCCGGCCTCTCGTTTTTGTTTATCATGAAGTCATCTGGAATAGCTTAGGTGGGCGGATCTGCTTGTTTCTGCCTGTATGCACCGTTGCTTATACCTCCTGTACCGCCGCCTCTGCTCGGTGTACCACTATGGTTGACCTGCTCTGCACCTTTGGCTATCTGTACCGCTGTGCCTTTGTGACGTGTTTTCTGCCCTTTGTACCTCTGTGCTTCCATACCTGCCCGTCTCCACCGCTGCACCTGCCCCCTCTTGGCTGTCCATACCACTCTGCCTGTTTGCTTGTACCTCCACCTGTGCCAGTCCGATTCATTCTTGCTGTGCCTGGCTGTGGCTTGGTTGTCCAGTACGGATGTGCTGTCCACTTGGCTGTGCTGTCCAGTACGGATGTGCTGTCCTTTTGGCTGTGCTGTCCAGTACGGATGTGCTGTCCACTTGGCTGTGCTGTCCAGTACGGATGTACTGTCCACTTGGCCGTGCTGTCCAGTACGGATGTGCTGTCCACTTGGCTGTGCTGTCCAGTACGGATGTGCTGTCCACTTGGCTGTGCTGTCCAGTACGGATGTACTGTCCACTTGGCCGTGCTGTCCAGTACGGATGTGCTGTCCACTTGGCTGTGCTGTCCAGTGCGGATGTCCTTTGCCGCTCCTCCGTGCGCACTGACACGGAAGCGTCGCCGCCGCCGAGTGGTGTGTGTCACCATGGTCAGCGGCGCCGGCCTTTTCGATTATCGTGCGTTTCAAGTGTTCTCGTGTATGCCCACCGTGTTACGTATCGGATGTAGACTTCATACATACCCAAGCTTACTCTGTCTACTCGCATTCATTGTAGCGTGATGTGCGTCCATTTGTACCATGATGTTCAGTTTTATTCCAGCGGTCTTGCTTTACGCCTTGTACGCGTCCTATGGACATCTCATTACGCCGTCCCTCATTGAAAAATTGTTTTAATTATGTCAGATGCATGGAATGAGATTGCATATCCATTGCTTTCATACTTCTGGAGCCTTTGATGCGTGGACGACCGATCGGTTTTGGAGTGATGACTTTCTGGGCTCGACGCTTATTTTTAGAGCCGTTTTTGCGACGGCTGAATGGATTAAAGGTTATTACCTTGAAACTGCGTGGATGTTGATGCACAGAAGACCCGTGCATCCAACGTTATTTGAAATTCAACAATCCATCTTATGTGCTCTATTCCATTATAATATCAACGTCATGATCAACCGAAGTGCATTTCGTCACTGTTTCCGTCATAAATCCGTGGATGTCGTTTCTTTTAATGTAAGCTGAGAAAGGTCAATTTAGGAAAAACTCGGAAAAGGATTCATTTCCATCTTTTGTGACATTATTTTTCTTTGTTGCGTTCTATGTTGCTTGCCGATTCCCCGGGCGTTTAGATCACCTAGCCTTCCGACGTTTTTAATTTTTCTGCGCGCACATACTGACATACATGTCAGGCACAACATAGGGCCAGATTATTAACCACAGGTCGAGTTCAGCTTTATGGTGTGGTTCCCTGCGTGTTCAGTTTGCTCC